GTCAGTGATCGATGCATTATGGCATCTTCAATTGTATAGAAACAAACAAATCTTATTGTTGTATTAATGCGGTGGCATACCATTTTTTCACAAATGCAATCTTGTTTACTTTCAAATTAAATGTAAGCATTAATCACAGCAAAATTACATGAAAACTTCAGACTCGCTTGATTTAGTATGTACATGAGTAATAATGAAAAGTGGCACATCCCTCACGCCCCCTAGCACCGACTTAAGCTTTACTAAATTTTCAACACTTAAAAGTGCTGGATTAATGATTACAGAACCAGAAAAAACACAACACCACTGAAGTGAAGTACGTGACAACTTATTAACCATATTTTTTACTGTTGGTGTATTCCAATAATACATTTTATTTATATATTTGTTATAAAAAGGGACATTTTGAGATCTCTTTATCATAATATCTATCTCTTAATAATATCCAACCATCACAGGGACGTAGTCTTTGAGATTTTGGATAAAACCACTAGGAATCCTGAACATTTCTGAGCATTATGGTTGGATGAAGTTAAGATTTTGATGTACCTGCTAAGTATACTAATCTTTTCTTGCCCAATATATCCCAGTGAGATCCTTTTGTGTTTATCTCTCATGAATAAACTTCAATTTTTATATATGATTTTGTTTTCTTTGCTTCTTCTTTTCAAAATATTGATACGCTGTATATTGAATTCAAATTGTCTCATTTCCTGCCACCAAACTTTAAGCCTTATATCTTGGTTTAATAGATTTGATTTTATATTAAAAATTCAGATTAATTTCTATGACATAATGTGGTTTGGATCTATGTGCAATTTGTACTTTTATTGAAAATTTAGAGTTTCTGTTAATTAAAGTGTTTTACATGCATGACACAGGGAATGAACCGGGTCATTCTTATTTTTTATATGACCCCATTCTATATCTGTAAAGGTATGGGAGTTGAAGATGCACCACATAAGACGTAATATACTAGCAATTATGGTTTGACTTATATATTATTGATACACGCCTTTGTCTGCCATGTTTTTTAAAGAAATTAAAATAGAAAAGGTAAACCGATGTTAGCAACTGTTTCATTTCTAGGCTACAAACAGTGAAATTGCAGTTACAATTTTATAATACAGTTGTCCTTATATTATGCAATAAGAATGTTCTTTTAAGCAGGTAATTATCTTTATTTTCATAATATATAATTGAGCACACAATTGAAAAAAAAATTACTTAGAGCTGTCAGCGAAAGAAATGATATTGATGTATCGTTGATATTTTTCTGTTGAGCAGTACCCATTTTAGAAAAGCAATAATATTAATTTAATAATTGAATGAAATTTTGAAAATTCAACCTAAACATATGCAGACGCATATTCCATAGCAGTGATGACAAAAATATGTTTGCGAAAATCATGCAATGGGCATTTGTTTGAAACGGGACACATTTATGAAGATACCATGTTTTAACTGAAAGCATTTAAACAATTATGAAAAAGAGTTAAATATAACTAGTTGATACTTAAAGTATGTAATTATCAATATATCTGTGCATCATCAATATTTTTTCATCTTAAATTTGCTTTCCACCGAATGAATGACAGCTCTAATGTTAATTGAATTATTTAAAAATATCAACAAAATTCAAATATTGAAACATTCCTAGCTATATTGTCTGTTGTCAAATTAAAATAAAACATTTTCTTTAAATCTTAGTTTCCTAAAGTAGATGTATATATAAAATTTGTATTTCAGAAATAATTTTGCTATCTAATAATGCAATAGTGAAATATTTTCATGCAGTTACAATACTTTTTGCATCAAATCATTTTCAACTTATCTGTAAGAACATTGGCGAAAAAACCCATGTGAGTGTATTTACTGTAGCTTTTGCACCAACAAATTCTGAAGCTGCACTTACGTTTTTTATTTTTATGCCAAAAAAGTCATTTTTGTCAAAATTCAGCTTCTAAACTTCAGAGACTTGTGAAACTTAGTATTTCTAACCAAATAATGACAAAAAGTGATTTTCTCAAAAAATGTCAGTTACATGACATTGTTCTCCAAGTTGACGAAATGACTTTAAGAATAAATACACTCATTGCATTGATAGTGGTTTTTTGCCATTGCATTGCATATTCTTGCCCCCAATTTCTGGCCCCTTCGAACACATGTGGTTATCTTGTTAATTTTAAGTGACAACTTGGGTTTTTCCAATGTCTTGATTTTGCCATTCATCAGTTAGAATTTCCTTGATGAAAATTAAAAGATTTTTATTTTCATACATGACTTTAAAATATTATGAAATACAAAGTCTGGTGAATTGAGTTGTCTATTCCACATTTTTCTCTAATAATGCCCTAATTTGAAGACGCTTTTAATGGCCAAAATAATAAATGTTGTGCTTGATGAGGTAATTTTACGCGAGTTAATAACCCAAAATTTATTGGGTAAAATCATAGTTTATAATAAAAGTTATAGCGAAAAAAACATCATATTTTATCTGGTAATCCCAGTATTTATAGTAACATTTTGTAATAACACTTAACGTTTCGTTTGAAACAAAATCTAAAATTTCGACAATACATTTACTTCATAGTTTCAAGATTAAAAAAATTGTCGTCTGTATTTCTAACTCAAATTTTCAAAAGTTGCCAAGGTCTTACTTCAGGATCAAAGATCAAATAACATATTCAAACATTCATTTGTGAGTTTAACTTTAGTATTCATTGATGAATTTTGATATAACTTAGAACAAATGTTCTACTTGTTGAGTTGAGTCGCTTTCACAAGGAGGTCAAAGGTCAAATAAAGATATCAAAATGTGTTTGTACACACTGTATCTTACTTGTGCTTGAAGTGTTATGCTTATTGGTCACGGGATTTTCGACTAGCCCGCTTGCGCTTAGCTCGACATAGTTGTCAAATTGTCTGTTCAAGGTTTGTGTGTCAAAACTTGTCTATGCCATAACTTCTTTTCTTTGTGCAAGGCATAACATAAATTGAGTTTTTCAGGCACAAATGTTCACCATGAGACTATATGTCATGCATACGAACCAGGTTACTGGGTCTAAGGTCAATGTCAGCTAAGATGATGCAATGTCAAGATATTGCCTTGGGTATAAAGAGTATGTGTTGAGCACACTCACTAACTTTTTGATCTGAAACTTATAGGTTCCGGTTTAAATCAAGACGAATGGGCTCAATGTGCTGCCAATGGGCATGACTTGTTTGCTAAAATTTGCTGCAACTTTGTAAGCAATTCTTAAAATGAATTGGCTTCATACTTGTGCACAACAAGAGTTAAAAGTTGATTAAATTGAACTTGACTTTGAACTTTATTTGACCTTGACATTTAGTAAGCCTGAATATGTTCACTGTCATTAACTGTTTTTTTTTTTAAATTAGAATTTAAAGATAAATACACCAACACCTATATTCTGATATATCATCTTTATGGATGGACGTGTCATCAGTCATCCAAACTTAAAGTTTTTAAGATAAGTGCTTCTGAGCATTTTTAAACTATAAAACATAATATTGTCAAATAGAGCTCCTTACAAAATACTTAATGGTAACATACTTTGTACAAACTGCTCTTCCACTTCATTGTTGATAATATATATGATATAACTATAATCAAGTCTTAAGATTTCATTGTTAATTCATAATAGATATATAATGTGCCTGTTAAATATTAGTATAACACTGACTGCCTTCATTGTATTGTTAATCACTGTTTACTAGTACAATCATACTTTTACTGTACCCACACATTTTTTTCAGAATTTAAACTTTATTTTTAAACCCGCCATAATTTGGCCAAGGCATATAATGTTACCTTGCTCCGTCCTTTCGTCATTCTGTCATCACCAGTTCCTATTCATTTTGGTAACGGTAACTTACATTCAACGCAAATTTGACATATGTATATATCATAAAAAATGCAGGTCAAATTCGAATTTGGTCATGATCCGATGACTTTTAACAGTGTTGTGCCCTTGATGAAATTTCAGTTTTCAGTTTCCGTTCATTATCTCCCAAACCATATTACACATTCACCTCAAATTTAATATATGGGTACGTCAATGGAATGCGCAGGTCATGTTTGAATTCGGTCATGATGTGATGAATTTTGGCAGAGTAATGCCCCTTTAACTTTGCAAAAAAAGAAGAAATTTTCAGTTTTCGTTCATTATATCCCCAACAGTTGTACATAATCAACTTAAATTTAAAATATGGATATGTCATAAGAATAATATACTGGTCAAGTTCGAATTTGGTCATGGTTTGATAATTACTGACAGAGTTTTCCCTCTTGAATTTTGAGAAAAAAGAAATTTTCGGTTCCGTCCCTAATGACTGTACACATTCAACTCAAATTTGACATTAAGATACATCTTAGGAATTAGCAGGTCAATTTGAATTTGGTCGTGGTTCAATTGTTTTGAACAAAGTTATCTCTCTTGAATGTTTGAAAAAAAATGAAATTTTCAGTTTTGGCACTCAAACTTTTGTGGAAATGAACGTAGTCATTATCTCGGCTACAAATATGGAATATGCAATTTACAAAAGGTTAACACTGAATAGTTTCAGAGCCTAGAACTTTGTATAAAAATGTATAAAAATGGTGTATGTTAACATTGAATAGTGGTATGGGCTTTGAACATAGAATGAAAAGAATAGTTTGTGCAAGAAAACTGGAACTAAATATTATAAAATTTGAATTTTTAGCTGCATGCGGGGACATCAATGGCGAGACGACGCATTTTAGCTTAGTTATTTATGCAAGTATCTGTATACACTATTTATTCCTATTTCTTATTTCAAATAATCAGATAAAATGCTTTCTTTTCCCAAGCTTCAAATTATTCTGAAAACCAGTTGGATGTGGTAAGGTGGAACATATTTACTGTTATTATACTAGTATACTTTAAAAGGCATGCTCTGAGAAAATGTATCAAGTCTCAAACAACTGATTCTTCTTGTGTCCTAATATGCTTCAGTACGTGTTTCAACATTGACTTTGAAAGATGGAAGTTCAATTCTATCAAATTCATTAGAAGTAAACAGTGGAGAACCTCATACATTGACGTGTACATCTAGTGTTAGCAGACCAACAGCAACCATCATCTGGTATTTTGGAGGTCAGAAAAACAAAACAGAAACAACTAGGACATCTACCTTTACATTCACACCAGATTATTCTGATAATCAGGAACAACTTTACTGTAAAGCATTTAATATACAGTCTGAAAGCCAAGCTGTATCTTCAAATCTTGTGTCACTGTATGTTAAAGGTGAGTACAATTTTACAGTTTTAATGTATAGTTTAATTTAGAAAGTTTTATTGAAAACAAGATTTCATCATTTTATAGGAAAACATTTCTGTAGTAAGACAGTATGGGTTACTGAAATCCTTTTTGCTATAGGGACAGTTATGATCATTTTGTGACTGCTTATAATATTTGCTCATTTGCACTTTCAGTTACCTAAATAAAAAAAAACTTTTGAAAATAAAATAAAATTAATTGACATTAGTTAGAATACTGAAATATTTTGTGATGATATAATATCTTAGCTTTATAACACATAATGTTAATACATGTTTTGTTGTCCATGCCATTTTTTGTTCATTCTTCCATTGCATTTAAGTTCTGCTTTCAAAATTAGAATATATGCATTTGAGAAATTTATCTTTTTTAAGAGTTCCATGTACATTTTATTTCAGTGAAGGTAGCTAATGTTACATTAAAAGATGGCAACACTTTATCATCTGGAACACTTAAAGTGACAAATGGTGTCTCTAAAACATTGACATGTACAGCAAGTGAAAGTAGGCCAACAGCGACAATCATCTGGTATATTGGAAATGATACGAAGAAAACGGAAACTGTCACACTGTCATCTTTTAGATATACTCCAGTTATCTCTGACCATAACAAACAAATTTATTGTAAAGCTTCACAGTCAGGAAATCCAGATGTTTTTTCTAAAAGACTTTCTCTTTATGTTAAAGGTTATCCTTTTTCTTTCTATGACCTTTGTAAATAGTTTGAATTGACTATAATATATGACATCTGTACCAGCTTTTACTTTAACGTTTAGTCATATGAAAAAAAGTTTAGATAAACAGTAAATTAAATTGTTTCCGAATCAGATAGCATTTCATATTTAATTTCAGGAATTCATGTATTAATAAACATAATAGAAATATTTTGCATAGATAACCAATTCATGTTATTTTAAGTGCATGTAAAGTATTGCAAAATCAATGCCTTTATTGTTTTCCCCACTGTTATTTGTTATAATCTCAATTGTAGTCTGCTTAAATATGAAGAAATCTTGATCATTTAGACTGTTTATTCCAAATTAATGAATAGCTACTTAAAAATGAACTTTGTGCAAGTGATGTTAACAGAGTGAAAATTCAAATAACGTAAATAAAAAAATTAATGCATAGACATTTGAAAAGAAAATTTATTTTAATATCATCCTTGATATTCAAACATGTATTTTATTAGTTCTGTCACTTTTATATATATTATTATTGTGTATCACATATCTAAAATTTATGTTTTCTTCTTTTCCAACGCTTTGGCTTTCTTTGATAAAGTAAAACACATTTAACTTATATAAGGATAATTAAACAAGTGTTCTCATATTTTCAGTTTTAGCTACAACTCCTACAATCACAGATCTGACAACAGAGAAGTTAGAAGGAGATCATATAAAATATCGGTGCACTTCTTCCCAAACACGACCTGTTGCTATAGTTACATGGAAGCTGGGTACTCAAATACTGAGTGATGTGCAAAATACAGAACATAGTCATGGGAATGATCTTAAATCTGTTACAAGTATTGTAACATTTACTGCCAACAGAACTGGTAACAACAAAACAATACAATGTGAAACTACAATACCTGGTCAAAGTAATTTATCAAAGGCTCAGGATAAGATGCCTGTATATTGTAAGTAATTTTATTTAAAGCCAAACGTCCTTAAATCAATCTAATACATGTTTTGTTGATAGTTTCAAATAAAATTTGTATCCGGTTATTTGATTTAGAAACTAAGATTTACTCATTTGTGTAATAGATTTATAAATAATAAATTGGCGACCGGTTTATAAATAGTACAAAACCATTTTTTAGCTAAAATATTAAAACTATTATCAAACAGCTTTTTGTATTTATTTGCTTGAGATTGAAATAGTTTGATAATGCCAGTTATTATTATAAGAACTTTTTGTTTTTCTAATAGTAAATCATTAAACGACTACCACTTATTGTGAATGCATTCAACAGAGCAAATGTAGATAAACATTTGCATTTGCACCTTATTATAGATAAAACTAAATATGACTAGACACTGGGTTTGTTGAAACCAATGTCGATGTTACATCCTATAATAATCAACGTTAAACATCACAAATATTGTGTTTTGTTTTTGTAACTTTATTAAAGGGGTATAGTTCCAATGAAATGAATAAGTTTGAAATGCATTTACAGGGCTCCAGATAAGATGTGTAAATAACTCAGGAAAATCATGCAAATAAAATTTCAAGAACTGGTTATTACGCTATGAACAGTTCTCTTGTGTAACTGAAACTTAAACCTAAATAGTTAATGTCTTAATGTAATGCAAGTTTTTTGTCATGTTTCTCCCGTTTTGCGCTCTTTCATGAGATCAAAGAGAAATCAATTTTGCCTTAACATATTTTATCCGAAAAAGTGACGGTGCAATTAGCACTGTTTGCCCTTATGCAGATTGCAGTGGTGCGAGACAGATCAATTACTTGACAGTAAATTGACTGCGTCAGACAGACTAATTTAAAACGAGCTATTTTGCTTATTGATGTAGACACTGGTCTGCACTGACCATGTGTTTAATGGTTTAGATGAGTGTTTGCAATTTCCAGCATTGGCAACATGTAAATAGCAAACCATATTTAGAAAATAGATATGATTAAATTTGTTTTCCCAGTGAAATATTTATAAAGCAAAACGTGTCATATACATGTATTTGCTTTTGCTTATTAGTAACAGCAAAGAAGATTGTGTTTGATAATTGTTATATATGTCACTGATGCATAATTTTCATTTTGACACATAAAGATTTTGATTATTCAAGTTCAAAGAGTAACTAATTCGTGTGTATATCAAACCTAGTTGCAAAATTAATTCAAAATAACGCTTTCAATGCTTAAACAAATGGCAATTGTTTTATACATTGTACTGGATTTTGGATGAACGTCATTTCTGGTTCATAACAACAACAGCGAAATGGAGAAGTATCTATTTCTGTATTAAAATATAAAGGGGAGTAAGCTTAACAATACTGTACTACCGTAGGTATTTTTACAAATGTATACATTGTAACAGTATGAATAAATTTACAAACAAATTAAGGATTTTACTTTATTTATATATTTTGTTCCATTATTGAAGCGAGTGCCCAAAAAATAGTAAAGGCCTTTTGATGCAACCCTTAATGATAGTTAATCTGAATTTCATTGTGTTGGATTCCTTTTATTTAATATAGTTACATAGTATGAGTAAAGATATTTACTGAATTACTTAAAATATGAATGAAAATTAAACAAATCTTACTTTAAGAGTACATGTTTGTATGTTAAAAGTATATATGATCATGAAATAGGTCATTATAATGCTGTCAAGAACTATTAACAACGTATTGTTCAATGTGTTATTTTTCATATTTGTAGGGCCTCCGTCACAGCCTCGAATTATGAATGATAGTTTTCCATTTCTAGAAGGTCAGACAGGAAAGAGTATTTATTGTTCCTCATCTGATTATGGTAATCCTACAGCTACAGCAACATGGACCACACAATATGGAACACCTGATAGTGCTGATACAAGGAAACTAAGGTTACCTAAACTAACTTATCAAGTTGATAGAAGTCCAGTTAAATGTCAGTTGAATAATTTATTTACTCAGAGGAAAGGTCTTCAGATCCAGTCCAAACAATATCTATTACAAGTGGAATGTAAGAATGTTTTCAGCTTTTATTTGCTATTGATTTTAATCCAATATATAAATGTTTGTTTAAGTAACAACAACTTTCGTTTGACTAGCTAGATTTAGTCAATGCGGACTTTTGTTATATCATTCTATAATGATAACAACCTAAACAAAATGCTGAAATTACTAGCCCTGTCTAGAACTCGTAAAATTATTATCACATTCGATTATTTTATATTGTTTAAGGAGGCTACCATTTATATGAGTTCTTTGTTGAATATTGATATCAATATAAACGGTTAAGTAATATTACTCATTGCCTCAAATAATGCTGAAAACAAATCAGTCATATTAATAACCTAATTATGAAATGCCGACGGCATAATACAAATACGGTTTTTCTAAAACAACGTATATTACGTTAATGCATTTCCAAACATATGGCCTTTGATTTGACATAGATTTAGAAAGTTATTTAATATTTAACTTGTTATGTTTTTAGTTTTATTCTTTTCACACGATCTCCGGTACATAATACACATAAGGATCTCTGATTAAAGTGTTGAAATATATTCTCATTGAAAAGCGACAAGTTACTTGATAGAATGACCTGGAGGTATATATGTCTCTTCTTACATTGGTAAGATCCTTGCCAAAATATATATCGTGGTTAATATAAATTGGTATTGACATTCACCATGGTCAGTAGATAACCCTAAAACGTCTTGAAGGTCAATGTCATAATTGTACTTGGTGCAGATTCTATCTCCGATTGATAATTTGAGAAGTTGCTATCCCTATGTTTGCAATACTGGTAGACATTGTACATGGCCAGCGTGTTATATGGTTATTAATTGATTGTCATAGTAAGTCTTTATGTGAAATCCATATTGAATCATTTACTATGATTTCCTCAGGCATAGGTGTTTGTAACGTACAAGTTATCAAAAAAGAACTATTGGATAAATGATGGCTGTCTCAATCTTTGACGGACTTTTTTAAAAGCTAAATAAAAATGGTGTGAAATAAATATCTTAATATGTCATTTAATCATAAAAATGAAACATTTTCACAAATTGTCATAACAGATATCAATAAATAGCACATTTATGACATAAATGCAATAGCAACTATGTGTATCACGCCATACTAGCACGCCAAACGTCGATTTGAAATACGACGTTTAACCTACATTCTGCGCCTTTTTTAAAGTACTTTCCAACTCTCCCTGTCATTCAGGAAACGGTTCGCTAATTTTTCGTACTCTATACCCTATAGTAAATCTATCACATATACAGGGTTCCTTGCTATTTATTTAAATATCAATGCAGTTAAAATAAATTTAGCACGCACAAAAATAAATCAGCCCTTTGAGTTCTTCCGCAGCTTTTAATATGTGTAATCACTGTAAAATATTCCAAATTACAATTGATGTGTATTCTTGTGCATATTACTTCCTGAGAAAGATTTCCACTCAGAAATAAAGTCCTGCAAACTAACATTACAAACAACCTTTAGAGTACTCAGAAATGACACTTCATGTACACATTTACAAATGGAATAAACAAAGGATATTGAATGAGTGTAGATTTAATGCTTAATTTATTGAACGAGTTGAATAAATGAGTTAAATGAGTTCAATAAATTTATTATTGAATCTACATAAATATAATGTTATATCTATCACATATATAAAATCAGAACGGTAAACTGTTAAAAAAGTCATTTTTATTGACACGCCTATAGTGTTACGCTAACATAAGCGTCCTTTAACGCTATGTTTATATACAGCGCAAATGAAGTCACGTCAAAGTGTTAATACACTTGTGAAATATCGTTTTTCTTTTAATAAAATGCCTTTACTACACCACTTCGCCGCGAGTTATGTGATAATTTAAAATATCATCAGTATCACTAGGGATGGCTTGAAACAGGCAATTTAAAAATTGAAAAGAACTACTTTCTAGACTGCAACGTGATGCAACGCATAAATGGTCCCGCTAACCCATGTGTACACATGTGTTTGTTTGACAAAATAATGTCCCGTCTCGTTTAACTCGCTTCAGAAGTGGGAAATAGGCGACGGAACTCGGTCTTCCTTTCTGTCTTTTTTTTCTCTTATTTTCTCCTACTGTAGTGTACAACTCTTTTTCCGTCCAACACATTTGTAAACAAATGCTCGAAATAAATCAGAACATCCCGGCTGTTATTCATATAACACGGACTTAATATCGAGTGTAAGTAGTTCTATTGTTTGGTCATATTGACCTTAAACATCTAAATATTCAACAGCCCTTTGTTGTTAATAATCGGATTACACAGTGAACCACATGGTTCTTATGTATGATATATGTATTACAAGCTTGATACTTGACTTATTACAACAATTATTTATTATCTTTAGCAAAACTATGTTTTTATGCATGCGAACTACTTATTGTACGACTTCACGTATTGAAATAAATGAAATTAGAAATTAGAAAAAAATATAACAGCTAGACTTTATCAACTCGAGTTGCACATGATTTAAATATCTATACAAAAACTTTTGTCTAAGTTACAAACTGGAAATTCCACAGCATCAGGCCACGGCGGCCTCGAGAACTGCACAATTAATAGCCCACTGTGCGTAAAGCGAGGATGTTATCTTTGATAATGTAATGTCCTGGGACTTTTATTTTAATTTAAATGCTTGACGATTACGAAATATTATTAATCTGAATATATGGATCAATCTATTACACATTTTCTTTAGTTATAATTCAATGTTATTTAATCAAAGGGTCATATTTTCATCAAAAAACTGCATAAATTTGACTTTCAAAGGAAAATATAGTCAATTTATGAATTGATTAACAATATGTCGGACTGTTATTCGATATTTTGAAATAATCTAAGTTAACAAGTCCCATCATTAAAATACTATTTGCTAACATTGCAAAGTTTCTTAGTGTAAGTTAGACAGAAATAACGCAAGAATTGTGTGTATTCTTACTTTTCTGTTCGTGGTCTCTGTCAAAGATTTGAAGGAAATGCCCGAGAAGTTGCGATAGGTTCGAGAAATGTTGATAAACTCTTCTTTTTTGTACTTTATGTCAAACATACTATTTTACTTTTCCTAAGAAATTCATTATAAAAAATGACGCTAAACATACATTAAAATTGTGTATTAATGCTCAAGATGTGTGTTTCCCAGAGATAATGACATGCCTTGCACATTAAAATGATCTTGTTATATAGGGTTGACCGGCCAGAGTTTTAGCAATATGTCCCCAAATATGCCCCCCCCCCCCCATTTTACTGACATTTCTTCTGATCACAGTATTGACATGTTTTAAATGCAAATATCCAAATGGAAACAGTTCATAGAGACCTATAAAACAGTCCATTTTCTTAGGGAAACACTGCAGAAATAGGTTCTAAAATAATTATCATATACTTGTAAGCATCACATTTTCATCTAATCACCTGATGCCCATTTGATATATTTATTGTATTATTGAAGATAAATGTTGTTTGTACATGCGCATGTTGATACTTTTATAACAACAAGTCGACTTATAGATTTACTTTTAGACTTTTATTTACTTCATAAATAAAATTTACTATATGCTATATATACTATTTTCTACATAAACCGTACAATTCTGCAATCTAAGTCTCTAAACGCTTATTGCGTAACATGGAGATTTCAATGAATTAATATACAGGACAGCTTCCTACTATTGTGCGGACAACTGTATTTATTAACGTTGACGTCATTGATGTCGTTTCCATATCAATATTTTCATTATCCTCCTGATGATATTGTGAAACTGGTAGAGGTATAATCAAATTACATAAATTAAGTTATTTAAGTAAACACTTGCCAAACATATTATCTCTTTGTAATTAGAATTTCATATGGCGTTATTTAATTTGTTAATTATGTCAAATATACACAGGTACTTCATTATTAACTTTACTTTATCATCATGTTTATGGCAAATTACGAAATTCATGTATATAGCTATTACTTCTATGGATCTGGCTATAATATTTTTCAACCAGACTACGTTCGCTGGTTTGAGTGAAATAAGGATTATAGATTAGATTGTTTAAGTTTTAAAAAAATCAGAATTTTGCTATATAATGTTTCATTTGGCTAACAGTGTCGAAGAGAAATGGATAAAGGGTAATATTTCTATCTGTACTTTATTAAATTAATTTGGTTAACTTATGGATTTAATTTGTTTGTTTAAATGTTATATGCTGTCAAACAGTAATAAAATTTATACTCATGATAAACTGGTTAGAAGAAAACTAAGTCAAATCTCGTGACCGATGTGAAAAGTTATCTTTGATCTAGATATTCCACTTTCTACAAGGAGCCCGTGTAAAACTATTTTCCAAGTAATCTTTTCCATTAGCATGTCTGGAGTCATTTCTGATTTTATTTGATGATCTATTGATTATTATTTTGATCACCTCTTTTGTTGTTGTTTTTTTACAGTCAAAAGTTTATTAAAATGAAATTACCCGTAGTGTAATGACCAAGTGAGAAATGTTGATGTTTCTTTATAAATCGGAAACAGTCCTTTCTATATATGTCAAAGGTTTGTAAAAATGAAATGACATCTAGTGTATAAACCAATCTAAACATATATACATATTATGACACTTATTTCAAACATAAAGGTTTTAATCTAACACGTTTTCTAAATATATTATGCAGATTCTCCAAGAATTCAGATACTAGTGGATGGGAAACAAGTCAGTACTACAACAAAAGATGAGGGACAAACTTTGTCTGCTACATGCAATGCAACTGGTAACCCTAACCCAGTTGTAGACTGGTTAGGGCAACAGCCTAGAGGTCCTACTTTGTCATTTGACGATATAGATAGAACAGATCATGGAAGATACACATGTAAAGCTACAGCAACATCAACGCATTATCCAAGTCATAACTTTATTACAGAAGAAGAATTGAATGTCATTGTTAACTGTAAGTTGTTTTAAGATGTTTTTTTTGGGCATATGCAGTCTTAATCTATCGAAAAATACTGACATATTTGCATCGTTTATTCTTAAAACTTCTATTTTTATTTTTTATTTATTCATTAATTTATTTATACACATTTTGATCGTCAATCATATTGTACTAGTTCTTTGTTTAGACATATGTTTACAGCGATATGTTTTATATCTAATTTGTTCATGCTTTATTGTCATTCAATATTTCAGTGCTTTTTATATATTTCTCATATTTTGTTGGTGATGCAATTAATTCAAAACAATTACGACATATAATTATTATTTATTACATATTTGTTATGTATTGAAATTTTGATTTTAAAAATGTAAAATGTTATTACCGTATATTTAAAATTAAGGTTTTGAAAAAGTCTCTACAATTAAGCACGTACTTATTACGTTTATTAAATTTTATGTTATCTGTTATCTACAAACAGACAATAGCACGCATGCATGCACACATACAAATATCTGAAGCGTTTGTTTAAGGCCAGTTCTGATCGGTATGACGTTTACCACTTAAACTTAAGAATATAAGAATAACCGCCAATTTTCCGTTAGCTACCTAGAAAGCTACTTGACATGAAAGACTCAAAATCCTTGATGTGATTTAAACTCACATAGTTAAAGACTATATGTTCGAAATAACCGACCAAAACCATTTGTAATGATATAAGTAGCTCGATGCTATTATAATAAGAATGACGTCACAGTACAACTTCAAAAATCCTAGCAAAAGGGATCATTTGGTCGAGTGCTTTAAAGTGTTGAAAATTGTGTAGCACTCAAGCCGGTGCTAGGGACGTGAGTGATGTTGCACTTTTTCATTATCCCTAATGTATGTGAACTTAATAAAACTGAGTCTGCAATTTTCAGGTAATTTTGCTGTCTTCAATGTTTCTGAGAGATCGCTTTTTCCAGATAGTTATACATCACAACAGAAGCTGTCAAATGCTTTGTGGCAGCCATAAAAAATTGCCCCATACCTTGCTTCAGTGTTGTTATATTTTCCTGCTCCTTCCAAATATTTATGGATGGACATCTTACTGAAATGTGTTTAGAAAATCAACCCCTGTATTAAGAAAAGTTTGGAATTTCCCAACAAGTCCGGGGATACAAACAAATTTTAGTCACAGCTTTCGAAAATAAGTGCAAAATGTTGATTTATCTACTGTGAAGGGTAGCGAACCGTAAAACTACAACACGTACCGGGAATAAGCTTAAAAACCACGTTTGCAGAGTTTATAGATAACATCTATTATAACATTAATATTGACATTAATGTATATTTGTATAGTAACACAATTTATAAAGATAACGCTAAGCAGAATATATCAATGAAACGTAAATAAAGATATGAGGTATAAATTTGATTTTGTGTCGGACCTTGTACCTAAACATGTTCTAAAATTATAATTTTCTTTTTGCATTTTATTTCCCAATTACAAGTTTCATTAATACATAAAAAATAAGTAGTAGTTTTCTTTTAATGAAGTGCCAATTTGAAAATATTCTTCGAAACATTTTATTAAACATGCAGAAATCGGGTTTATTATCAACACTGTAAAATTGGGCCGATAAATCTTGGAACCGAATTTGCACATAAGGCCGATTTGGGTTTTGCCGAAAAGTATTGTTTGCCTATCAGAGAATACTTATCAGTTTATATTTCAAAGAAATTAGTTTGCCCAACATGTTGAATGTTTAGACATGTTATTCCAGCTCATTACATAACTTCTTTGAGTTTGTTTTTTTAATTTGCATACGCTGCATTTTTTGTTCGGATTAGCTGATTATATTTGCACATTTTATTGAATTCATCAATATGTACCGGATGTCACAGCCGTGTAAAAAAATTCAAACGTCCATTGTGAAGGTTAAACCTTTTTGAATCAAAGCAAGACATGATAGAACAAACAATTCAGCTTTATTTATACATGAATGTTTCTTAAAATTGTCAGATTCTTGTGCAGTAGTATAAAACATTTTATACAAATTATTAAATTATATTTAGATGCACCAGATGTCACTGTAAATGTAAGTAGCCGGAATCCAACCGAGAACAACACCTTGACAGTTAAATGTGAACCTAAAGGAAGGCCTACAGATTATCATTTCTCGTCAATTGTACATAAATGGGGAGATGTGGTTATATCTAAAGTACTTAATCCAACCAATGGTGTCAAAGAAGTACAAAATGCTCAACTTCAAGATAGCGGTACTTATATCTGTGAGGCAAATAATGGCATTCGTGACAGGAGCAAGAAGCTTGATCAAAGTGGAAACAACACCGTCAATGTTAAAGGTTTGTGATTATTAAATGTAGCACTGTAATTCTTAGAAGCTTCTTGTTTTTTTTTCTTCATGCTACTTGCGCTGAATGAGTTTGTTTTATGATACACATAAAAAAGAAAAAGAGGGCTGATTTGACATGTTAAGAAAAATAATGTACATGTACAATAAAAAGAAAAACTCCATTTTTGTCCCAAGCATTGACAATGCATATGATTGGAACCGTAATTGAAAATAGGAAAATGATAAATTTATATTGATTTTAATAAGAAGAAACTTCCACATAGGTTTTTCTATTAATTGCTATATCTATAATACAGTGCGAATACAAATGGGTATTTATATTTGTACTATCAATAGCATTCATTTGTTGGTGCCCCACTCACGATTAACTGTTAGAAAAACAAAACATACGTTCAATGCATCTTTGTACAAATTCACAAGTTTGCGAGAATTGAATATAGTATCATAATGAAAGTTTGTTTTACACTTCATTTGTTTAATGATTGAAAGATTGTACGCCGGAGAGCTGTATATACTATACTATACTATATATATAAAGTAGTATCAAAATAAAAGTTTATTGTAAAATTCAAGAATCAATTTTTCTTTATTAATTTGGAAAGTATATGTAAACATTTCTGCAACAGAAATTTTCCAAAAACGGGATAAAATATAACAAATTTAAGTTCCAGATTAACTTAAAAACTGTATATACATCTACATGTCTCCAACCACAATATTTCAAGAAAATCAAACATGAGCAAAATTTGTACCATTTGAACCATAAATATCCGTTACGTAACTTTGTCAAACCAGCTCAAAGGTTAAAGAAGCAGCAAAATTTCAGTAAAGGGTTCACTCGGTCATATAATAGTACATGGTGATATTGTACCTATAATTATCACGGTTACTATTTTTCGGAACATAAAAGATTTAAACACTATTCTTAAAACAATAATCGATTTATACAGTTTAAAGTTATGGTTCCGCTGAACGATGGTATTTTACCTTGCACCTTAGATTTCATAACTTTTTACCTAAATTATAAGTATATCCTCATTAATGATGAACTGCAATTCATTTTTAATTTCATTTCGTCGAAACACTCGGATGCAACTGGATATAACATTGTCACTATTCAAAATCCCTGCCATTTGTAAAAGCTCTTGGGATCGATCGGTTTCAGTCGGTATTTACTTAAAAAGTACGGAAATGCTTTTAAATTAATAAGAATCATCAACAAAACTGCGACACATCAGTTGTCATTCGATTTTATAAGATGAGTATTATGACGGATGCAATTTTATGTTTTGTAATTAATAAACGATATGAAAAGCTGTTTATACACTTCTATTTTGAATAATAGCGCTGTTTGAAAGTTTGTTACGAAACAATCGAAAAAAGAAGAATCCGTCGTCTGCCTATTAAATTGTAAACAAACAGATACAAATTCTAAAAAAAATTAAACATGCTTTATGTCGTACGGTTGTTGTGATTATTTCAACATTGGTGTTGAAATCGGGAAAGTACAGAGGGATTCTAACACGTTCGTTCTTTATGATCGGCTCGTACCAAAATAAAACGTACCTAAGCTTCCTTAATTTTTGTATCAAAATAAATTATTTGGCATTTTGCGCGTCATGTATATATTATTGATATCAATTGATTATAAACCGATCAAGCGTATGATATCTGATATAATGAAAGGAAAGATAATTTGTCAATCTGATGTTATAAAGTTTAGGGTATCACCAGATTAAATAACTAGAAAACTGCATACAAAATCAATTACATACATTACATCTATAGACTCCGGCCACCGAATGCTATATGATAATATATATACTTTTATTTAATAAGCAAATAAGAAATGGAAAAGAACTAAATTATCGTGAGATGCCTAGAATTTTGAAAATGATTACTCAAGACCTTGTTTTTGTAACAGCCTTTTGTAAAACTGCACATTATGGTGAATAATGTACAAATGAGAGATTTCATTCCAATTACTACAAACATAGTGCAACCTCTGCTGAGCAACCATCTGGTAAATATGAATTGCTATACCATGAACAGTTACATTCCACTGAAAATAAGATTGCAAATAATTGAATCCCCATCTCTTGTAAGAGCCACACACATTTAAGGTTCGAGTTTAACAACTTACACAGGCAAAATATTTTACCCATATTTTTCAATTGCATATAAGAATTTAGGCATTCTAGCCAAAGATAATTGTAATTGTTTTATATTTATCAAAGCAGACATGTTTTTCTTCTGTTTTGGAAAAGTTGTTCCGGTTAGGTGGTTTCCTGCTTACATTTGTTAATGCATGATTGCACGGGAAACCAGCTGTAATCGTGCCAATCGCAACTTTTCGGCCCTTTCCGCCACTCTTCGGTTTAATGATGATAGCCGATTTAGTTCCGATTGCAATTGTGACAATTCGGGCAATTCCGTCATACTGCGGAATCAAACGAAGTAATATTACGGAAAGCTAAGCTATTTTAGTTACTTTGGTAATCCCAGTTTGTTTATATAAATAGGATTTCTATTTTTACTTGATTTATCGGTTTAAACCGTAATAAATCATAAACGAAATTGTTCCGTTTCAATTCTTTTTCAAGACGCAAAAGTTAGTTTCTTTTACAATTGTTTTTGTCTGTATTAGTTTTATACAATAGAGAATGGTTACTGTAGCTCCAAAGGGTGGTCCTGCTTACCTAATCACACAGAATATTAGTGCATGATCGAGTTATATTTAGATCTAATGAACGCAATTCAACGTCTTGGTGAGGTAATCTAAAAATAGCCCATGCATATCATTAACCTTACCACGTTCTGATCTACAGATAGCGCATCGTATATGTGGTCGTGTAACATACATACATGCTTATTAATTGGTACCACGTAACGAAGTATTTAAGTGCATTTACTTGGCCATAAAGATGCTATATAAATAAAATTAGCAACTGCCAAAACGAATGATTTCTCTGCGAAAATAGTGGAAATGAAATATGCACACTTCTTTCCCTTCAGTATGAGAGATAGATCTCCACGTTAGTATTTTTACTATTGATTATTTTCTTTATTAGTTTTAAACAATAGAGAATAGATTTCAAATCGTTTTGAAAAAACATATTCGTTTTTACGCAAAAAACCAACTAAATAAACACTTTATGATATACAAATACAGTAATTCAAAAAAATTGTGATACTAAATTGAAACAAAAAAAAAACAATTTTAAAGGGTTGGGGTGAAGGCACAACTGTGCAAGCCTTTCCTTTTAAAAGGAAACTTTATTATAATTAGGTTAGTAAGTTTATTACTTATGATTCATTTTTTGCTTCTACTGAAGCAGCATTGCATAAAGGATACAATCCTACCCCTGAGATTTTTTTTTAATAAAAGATTGTGTTTCCACAAGTTAACTAGTATTTACTATCCCCTAAAATATTGCATAAATCTTCTCCCATTTGAAATTTGTGTCTCGCGTTGCTATTTAGTGCAAAGCTTGGATTTTAACTAATCAAAAGTAACCACTCTTAAACAACTAAAATATTTAGACTAAAAATCAGTTTCCCTGCAGAAACTGTGCTGTAGCTTTTCTTTATATCTATAAAGCAAACAAAAAAATTCAAATGGGTTATGTTCTGCGCATGATTCTAAATTCATTTTCCATTATCATACATGAACAGGCTCACCGAGCCTGCAACATTTCAATTTTGTGATTTTTGGCTTTCTTTAGGGTTTCATTATTTCTATTTTCTGATCAAAAGATGCCAGATGTACCTCTTCAGGTTCCTTTTTTCAAAAATTGAGAATAAGATCACATATTGTAAAAATGTTTTTCAATTACTTTTAAACGTTTAATTACACTCCACTTCTCTTCGAATGTTCCATGACACCTTTCTAAATGTTAAAATAACAAAAACACCGATACATTCACGTATTTGAACAATGGCAGTAGCTAAACAAAAATAAAATGTTTTTAAATGAACAGCATATCTTCCTTTTCCTACTCTCAAAATTATACACCGGTGACATCTTGACAGTGATAGTTTAATATATTTACATGTAACTGAAGCCTTGAACTTATAATCAAATGGACTCATCTACAAAACTACTGGCAATTAGCTGCATTCCTTCTAAGTTACATAAACCATATATACATGTTGTACTTAATGACATCCTGATCATTGACTGGGAATGGGCTTTTTTCTTACCAAACAAACAACACTTAGGGTAACGCCTTAATTAATATATTGTTTATTTCCCATCAAACTACCTACCCACAAATATCATAGCTACCTAAAATATTTTATTGTCCAGAAATTAATTTTTACTTAACATGGAAGCGGAGCGTGTCAATAAGAATCACATCTTTATATCTGATTCATGCTTTTTAAATTGTAAATATAAATATACAAATGTTGGGATATTTGTTGAATAAAACTGAAAATATGTTTTTAATCTTTGAACAGATGCTAAACATTTACAATTTGTTTGAATTCCATCTAATTTTGATAAACAAAATAACAAGAACAAATAGATTCGAAAGAATAAATATTTTTATATATATCGGCCCACATAGATTATGTAAACTGGAATGAGTTGAGGGAGTAAATTTAAAAGTGTGGTAATTTTAAGGCTTGTCTTGTTTAATTGAACAAAATTACTACATAAAGTGCCTCTATTTCAATGGCCTAATAAACTGGACTAGACAATAAACAATTCATGGACTAGTAACAAAAAATCTTGGCTTCTTCTTAGATATTTGAATTTACTCAAAAAGGAGGAAGTACAGTGGATCATCCAACACGAACCACCACTGGGCGGAGACAACGCTTGGCCATTTTACTTTGTCTGAAAGCAAACAATTAAACTGTTGAAAGAAGTCAGTTAAAAGTAAAAAAAATATATTTGTTTCTTTCTTGAATTTTAATAGGTCTGTCTAGTCACACTTGATATTTTGTCCAAGTATGAATCATTTCCATAAATAAATAACAATTTTAAAATT